TATATATATATATATATAATTTTGTAAGACTTCAATACTACTTATGAATAAGCAAGCATGTGACTAAAGTAACAAATCGTGTTCCATGCCATAAAAATAGTCAATGTTAATTATTCAAGGAAGAACCCTGATTTTTACAATCAAAATAAGGGTAATATCTCACAAATATGCATATTTAAATTAAAAAATGAAAATTGGGTTAGATAATTATAATATTTAAAAGAAAAATTAATATTATTGATACGTATAAGATATTTATAAATTATTTTCTATGTAATTATGCAATTAAATAGCCTAGTAATTACAAATAGCACTCCCATCATTGCTATTTATAAATCCAACACCATCTTTCATTTTTCTTCCAAATTCTCATTCAAATATCATAATTTATGGAAAAATTTATTCCATACGGACACTGCATGTAGAGATGCATGCGGTGTCCGATCTATATCGTCAATTACCGATCTCCACCGTCTGATCCAAAATTTTTTTTTTTTTTAAAAAAGTGGACCCACCGAAATACATCTTTACCTTGATCGACAGTGTGATCGGACACCGTATACATCTCTACATGCAGTATTCGTATGGAATGATTTTTCTAATTTATGTCAACAATTTCAGATATTTTTCATTTTTATCAAATTCCCCGTAGTTTGATCATGGCTCGTGTGCCGTTCAAAAAATTCATTGGGTGCTAATTATATAAATAGCAATGAACTTACTGCTTTCAACGTAATCATCCGAAAACTGAACCGGTAGCCAGCGCCAGTCGGTTTCGCGGGGCGAATTCCGTAGGTCGAGCGGAGCAGGAGAGCGGACCCTAGGTTGGGAAGGGGCGAGCATGTACACGAAATCCAGCACGAGACAAGGAGAGGGCTTGCGGGCGTCATCGTACTTGAGGTTAGGTGCGGCAGAGAACTTCAAGGTTTTTTCCGCACTTAAAGATTAGGATCCAAGGTGTTTTGACGGCAAGCACGAGTTTGTAGCGGAGGAGAAAGAAGTCTAGGTTTTTTACTTCCTAGTATTTTTCTGCTGAAAGGTAAGCCCAACTTTAGATTTTTTTCTTTTGTGTTTCAAACCTTGGAGAAGTTGGGTATTGGGTTAGAAAAAAAAATTGAGATTCAGTCTTAGTTAAAGGAGGAATAAAGGATTTTATTCAGCTAATATTTATAGGAAATCTATTGAATGTATCTTGAAATTTTATAAATTCATCATTTACAATGACTCGTATTAGTAGCCCATATAAGTATCATGCGTTCCCTTTTAGTCGTTTTTATGTTGCGAGCTTATGCTGAAGGGATACTTTGTATAAATTATAAATGAGTAGGATTAAACAAAGATAATTTGAGATGGGAAAGCTTAATAGTTATATTATGAATAACTAGTGGCTATCTAGTTGGAATTAACATTGATTGGAGTTTATTTTTCTTGAATAAATTCTTATATATGAAATATCTCTAGCTATATTTATTCAAGAGATTTCACATGAATTTAGTATCAAAGATAAAGTTGTTTGTTATTTGTGCGTGATGAACTTGATTAGAATTGACTATAGATGTGTACTTGGGCTTGATATTTAAAGGCAATGTGCTAAAATTTGGATGGTTGTTAGTTGGAACAACTAATAACCATTAGATTTTTAGCATGTAGCCATGCATACATAATTGATTTAGAATTGGATAATAAGCTCTAACTAATCTAAAAGTGAAAGTCACTTTCATTGCCTAATTAGGCTCTTAAATATAATTTTATTGTATTGGTTCAATATTCCCAACTTAACTGGATGCAAAGATTAAATTATTATTCAACGATATAAGAAATAGTTTACTGTTGTAGTGCTCTTATCTTCTAAGTTTTCTTATTAATTCTGTGTACATCTAACTATGTTAATAATCGATGAAAAACATGAAAATTAATAATAAATCCTCGTCTGACAAAAGTTGTGATTGTATTAAGTATAAATTTAAAGATTTATGATTCCTTATAGTGATTCTTAGACATTTTAAGATGCGCTTAGGTATGGATTAATTTTAATGAATTTTGTTGTATATATGTTCTAAGCATAAATTTGGGCTTGGTTTATTCATTACCCTGGTTATCATATGTAACTTTCTTTTTGTTGGTCTCATTGTGCTAGGATTATTATTTTTAGTATGTACTTAAATGTCATTAAATTTGCTTGATATAGCTTTTACATTCCATGTTTTTTCTTTTTTTCTAGGTAATGCACAATTCATCATCAGGGCAGGCTGCAAAGCCAAAGGCAGGTTCATCTCAGCTATCAGAGACTTCTTTGAAGCGCAAGCGTGGAATGTTTCAGAAGGATTGTGAGTTTCATAGACACATTTTTTTTAGATTAAAATTCAAAGGCACTTTCTTATATGTTGGACTTATCTTGCTATGGTAATAAATGATTGAATTTTGAATATTTCAATTCTTTTGCATAAAGAAGTTAGCATAATTTGCAACTACTACTTGAGGCTCCCAACGATTGCAGGATTGAGGGAGTTTTTGATTCATGAACTCATCTTCTAGCTTTAATTGAGAGGTTGTTTTACTGGTTGGAGTTAGTGAGCTTTTGGTCACTATGAAGGAATCCTAATACTACACCCAAACATGCCTCCATCATGTTTTTTTTTTTCTGTCTTCTTCTAGCACTATTTCATACAAATAAATAGCACCCTTAATGATGAATTTAATAGATTTCATTAAAAAAAAGCTCCATGGTAGACTATTCTATTATATTTTTCTACTTTTCTCTCTTTCGTTATTTATCATTGTTTATTTAATGCTATCTATGGTGCTGAGGATAGGATTGATATTGTGTTGAATTCAAACAAACTCCTTTCAACTAGAAATCAATAATTTTAATTTTGGTTTGAGCCTTAAATGATCAATTTCGAGTCAAGCATTGATTGAATTCTAGTGAAGCCTAATGATTAAATAAATTCAAGTTCTAAAGTGATTAAATGTCGACCATACATAAATTTATGTGAAATGGATTAACAAACACATATCCTTATATATATTTAGAAGCCCAAGGGAAAATATATTAAAAAGAAAAGGGTACAGATAGTTTGTATGAATGAGCCCAAATAGGTACCCAACCACACGATACAACACAAAAAAAAAACAAAACCCCAAAATAGATAGTACTATAAGATCAATCGGGACGACCTAATTTAGTTCTGCCTCTGCCTCTCATTCTCGGAAGGGAACCGACTAATAAATTGGTGAGGTATGTACCATTGCCCGAAGTAACCAAAGTAAGATTCCTTAACTCAAGTAGATCTCCATTCTTCTTCTTCCTTCTGTAAGTGTAGACCTGCCATTCCTCATCCGAAGATTGTTGCTCATTCGGATGAGGTGGTAGTGCTGTAGTAGAAAGATTGCTAACAGTTGTACTCACAATAGGTTTTAGTGTATGTGAGATATGAGTTATTGCCTCTACCCTGATACTTCTTGAAGATGAGAAGCTGCAAGGTTCTCATGATTATCAGTCCATGTAGGTAGGGATCCTTTAGTGCTGTTTTCAATAGGGTTTGAAAGTGTAGGTTGCTCAGAGCCATCTAACCTCATATCATTCGCAAATACATTATTTTTAGGGGGGTCCACAGGGGCAATTAAGTCAGACACCAAATCCTGTCATGTGGTAGTTTTCTCTCGAAGTGGAACAAATATGTCCAAAGCAGTGGGGTTAGATCCATCCTTATTCACTTGATTTTTAGATTTCAAATTAGAATGAAACTTATGACATTTATCAAGGGTATGCCCAAACATTTTACAACGAGAACAATAAGGAGTTCTATGCTCCATGACGATTTGTTGCCAATGTCCATTGTGAGTTATGCCCAACCAGACTTCAGTAACATCAAGTAAAGTAATATCTCTTTCCACAAGTATTTTGACCCTAGAAGGTCTGGTCAGGTTGAAAGTGGGTAGATCTAGCTTCATAGGGTTCCCAAGTATGACCCCAATAGAGTAAAGAACCTGATGATGAAAAAAGTGCAGCTTGAGACCAGCTAGACTAAAACATACCGGTATAGTAGGAGATTCATGATTGAGGACAAAATTAGGAGACTGCTTGAGTAACTTCATTGATTTGCCTGCAATGTTAAGATATTTTTTGGAGAAAATCTGACTGTAGTCTTCAACTACGGTTAATTGAATTAACACATGTCTTCCATCTATAAGCCTCACTTTTCACTTTCTCGCTAGTTTGAGAGCATCAAAACTTTTCCTGATAACTTCAATAGGCGGGTGCCCTCACTGAAATTTTCCAATTAGAGCGAACTTGAATTTCTCATTCAGGGTTAAAATTTCTAACTTAGAGAAAAAAAAAATGTTGTTTTCCCACTTTTACTACTTGCATTCTTAATAAAGAGGCTGTCACCTATACCATCATGATACTCCTTATAACTTGAGGGGAAGACAACTGCCGACTCCATCTGAGGATTACCCACCACGTGGACAAATGAGGTTTTGCCAGGTTCAACTGCAGAAGAAGGGAGCTCCATTACAGCAGGGAAAAGCCCTGCCAAGTCGAGTAGAGGGCAAAAAATGTCGAGTCGAAGACGGTTGGGGCGAAGCCGCAAAAATCGAAGCCGCGGAACAGCCGCAGCTCGACGAGGCCTACGATGACGGACAACAGTTGCCCAGAAAGCACGAACCGCAGAAGGCGGAGCCTCGACGAAGCTCGAAGACGATGGAACAGAGGAGCCAAAGCCCTTCGTCGTCGGGCTGAAACGATTTTGCCGAAGGAGAAGCCCTTCGTCGTAGCGAACGAGAAGACCTTCGTCGCCAAGCACAACAAAATCAATGGATTGAAAGCCGAAGGATTCAATGCCGGGAATTGCCATCGGGCAAAACTTAGCAGAGCTGCCCTCCACCGACGCCATATATATATTATGTACACGGTAAATAACTCTTATCTTCCTTGGGTTTGGATATTTTTATTTTATTTTATTTTTTTTGTATTTTTATTTTGAATTCTTGTGATTGTGAGATCTTTGAGTTTTATGTTATTTGTGGTTTATATATGTTGGATCATTTCTTTTGTTATGGTTCATGTTGGATCTTTATGCTATTAGGTTTGGTTCTAGATGTAAAAGTGGTGGTTCGCATAAGTTTGGTGGCAGATTTGGGTATTTATTTAATTATCTTTTTGTCTCTCACTCTTATTCTTATAAATAAGGTATTTTTACAATGCAAATCGTTTTTATTATAAATAACAAAATGAAAGACCGAGTTTCAACACTTTGTGCATCGTTCATTGCCGAAATGAAATGCTTCCGGAGTGAATGTGGTGGAATTAATAATTGGCATAGTACTTCCTAGGATTGAATGATTTTATTTTCTTAAGTTGTAACAATCTTCTTATCGTTTAGTAACATTTTTATTGAAATATATTTATTTTCCTTTTCTTAGAATCAAATATATTATTGTCCAAGTAGTTAGCTAGGTTGAAGAAACTATCAATTAATATTAAGACTTTTATTTGCAATTCTCTTTATATTTCATAATGATCCATCTTGATTATTCTTTGCAAGTATTTTATTAAATCAAGCTTAAATTTGAGGTTCCACAACGCTTCTAAGTGATTTATTTTAGATTTAATATTTTTTTTATTTAAGCTTAAATTGAATTTTCTTGTGATGATTTAAATTTAGTCCGCTTCATTTATTATCGTAGTGAATCTAAAGTTTTGTTCAACATCATATTTTATACTTGAGTAAGTTGTTCATTGGAAAAACTTTTTTTGTGTATTGATTTTTTATTGTTCCATTTTTTGTCACATTATATTTTTATTTAATTTTTAAAATAATAAACTAATTTATTTTATATTGAAATTTTGTAGATGTGATTTTAATAATATGTCAAGCCACTCCTTTTTTTCAAGTTTATCCAAACTCATTTGGTGCCCATAAAAATAGCATAATTTTTATTTTGTTGTTTTTTTGCAAAAAAAGAATTATTTTGGCCATATCATTGTTATTTTACATCTTAATCTTATGTTTAAGTTGCCTGTTTTCATTTAGTTCGATATTTTCTACAACCTTTCTTTAGAACTTTTTATTTATTCCTATTGGTTGTGTACCAAATTTGCAAATTCTAAGGAGCTATTACAAATCATGCACTTTACTCCACATATTTTATAATTACTTGGAGTGGTCTTTTGTTTGAAGGTCCAACACATGACCACATATATTATAATATTTTACTTTATTTATTAGAATTAAATGATCTTACCTAGAATTTTTAACAAAAAAATTTTTGATTGACAAGTCTGCCAATTTGTCTTTAGGTTGGATGCTATTTAAAATAACCTTAATTAATCTTCCATGAGATACTCTAATTCAAGGCACCTTACTTGAGTATAGTTAAATGAACCCACCCATTAATCCTAATACACATCTCCCTTCACCCTCACCAAGGTTACAAAGGAATTGAGTTTTCCTTATAAATGGCTTTTGAATAACATAATATGGATGAGATTCCATTTTGACTTCATAATTGAGCTAACAAACCTTTTGGTAGGCTTGATGGATATCCCCATCAACCCCTTTCATGGGAGTAATATCCTTATCATTATGAGGAGCTTTGACTAATTCTATGCCATCTAGAAGCTCGTTGAATGTGACTCGGTTGGTGGTATCGCAAGAAAGGTTGAGGTTGATCCCTTTTACTTTTGATATTCATTTGCGCTTAAAAGATTTTTTTTTATTTGCTTATAGAGATAGACCACTATTTTGATGTGTGAGAATCATTAAGTTAGGATTGCTTGCACAAAGCTCATTGGCTATGCCAAGACCCACTGAGTTAACTTAGGGCCATAACTTCAAGTATATGGCAAATCACATGTTGAATCTTGGGATGAGCGAAAGAGTTTTTTATGTAGAGGTATCTTAGTCTAACATTTCATGATTAGCTTTTGATACTCTTGAGTAGACATTCTAGTGAACATTTTGAGCAATATCTGAAGCCCATTCTACAATGCAAATTCATTAAGTTTATCTCCTAAGCCCAATTGACATTCTCTCCCAAGGAAAAATTCGTATGTGGAGCCTCTGGCTTCAATTGCTTCATTTAAGGCAGATTGGTAACTAAGCAAGCAATTGATCGCATAGGAGTATCCATTTGGATACCACTGATCCATTAGCCGGAAGACTTAGAGATTGATAATGTCAAGCGTAATTCATATGGCTCACGCCTGGATGGATCATGCCGGATGACCTACACATCATCCTGGTATATTGTCTTCTAGCTAATGCATAAAACTAACACCAGTTGAAAATTTACCAATATATTCCACACTTCCAAAGTTAAG